CTTTCAGGGTATTACAGCTTAGCCAGGCATACAGGTGAAATCTTTCAAATACACTGAGGCAATCTGACAGTGAAACCCTATCAAATATTTTGAATTCTCCTAACCTCTTTTATTCTCATCTCATCAGAGATACAGATTCATTCCTGTTTTTATTAGCCAGATTGGGTAACTGTCCATTTATACAAAATATTTCTTGACAGTTTAAGACTGATTTTATCAGTCCTGCTTTCTAGAAACAACTGGACTCACCACATAAACATGGTGGCTACAAGACCATGTCAGAGGTTAGGAATACTGCAGAGAGTAGCTCTCCTCCTGACTCTCCAAAATATGTACACCATCAATAAGGCGCAAGTCAGGAGTGTGACGAAATACTCGCCAATTGCTCTGCTTGGGTGCAACTCCAACAATAGTGAAGAAGCTTGACACTATCCAGGACAAAGTAGCCCCCGCTTGATTGGCACTGTATCAATAAGCATCCATTCCCTACACTACCAACGCTGAATACCAGCAATGTGTACCATCTACAAGATGCACTGCAGAAATTCACCAAAGATCCTCAGACTGCGCCTTCCAAACCCACAACCACTTCCATCTAGAAGGACAAGAGCAGCAGATACATGGGAACACCACCCTCTGCAAGATCCCCTCCACAAGCCACTCACCGTCAAGACTTGGAAATAAATGGCAGTTCCTTCAGTGTCACTGGGTCAAAATCCTGGAATTCCCCCCAAAAGGAATTGTGGATCAACCTACAGGACATGGACTGCAATGGTTCAAGAAGGCATCTCACCACCACCTTTTCAATGGGCAACTAGGGACGGGCAATAAATGCTGGTCTGAGCCAGTGATACCCACATCCCATGTGTGAATAAAAATAAAAATCCTTTCTCTACCGAAAGACCCAGATCCTGAATAATATATTTCCGGTGTTTATCCCCCAAATGAATGAACAATTTTTGTGTTGCATAATAGATGTTGACTGTGGTCTGGTTAATAATCACACCTCAGGGCAGGACAGAACCATCTATATGTGAAGTATCCCTTTGGGATTAAATTTTATCATTTGTAAACAGATTTGTAACTCAGAGTGTGTGTGGCCATTCGGGATGATCGGTTAAAACATAGTAAATTGAATTAATTGAATGAATGAATTTGCAGGGATAACTATTTTGACCCATTGGCTGCCCTTCTCATGCTCATTCCTTCAGCTTTAATATTGAGAATATAATTGTCTGTTCTTTCGATATCTGCAACACATCGAACAGATGGGAAATCGTGACCATTTCTGACCCTCAGAATTAATACCTTTACAATTTAGAATGCAGGCATATGTGACAAAATTGAGCAAAATTAATACTTACCGGGACCAGGAAATTTCTGGACTTCTGTGGAATGATCAGATGAATGTTAATATCCTCAAGAGGGATCAACTGGAATTGGAGATTTTAACGAAATCAGTGCAGAGCCTGACAATAATGTGCAACAACAATCTAACAACATAAGGTGCAGAGCTGGGTGAACACAGCAGGCCAAGCAGCATCATAGGAGCAGAAAGGCTGACGTTTCAGGCCTAGACCCTTCATCAGAAATGGGGGAGGGGAAGGGGCTTCTGAAATAAATAGGGAGAGAGGGGGACGTGGATAGAGGAGAGGATAGGTGGAGAGGAAACAGACAGGTCGAAGAGGCGGGGATGGAGCCAGTAAAGGTGAGTGTAGGTGGGGAGTTAGGGAGGGGATAGGTCAGTCCAGGGAGGACAGACAGGTCAAGGGGGCGGGATGAGGTTAGTAGGTAGGAGGTGGGGGTGCGGCTTGAGGTGGGAGGAGGGGATAGGTGGGAGGAAGAACAGGTTAGGGAGGCAGGACGAGCTGGGCTGGTTTTGGGATGCAGTAGTGGGAGGGGAGAATTTGAAGCTTGTGAAACCCACATTGATACCATTGGGCTGCACGGTTCCCAAGCAGAATATGAGTTGCTGTTCCTGCAACCTTCGGGTGGCATCGTTGTGGCACGGCAGGAGGCCCAGGATGGACATGTCATCTGAGGAATGGGAGGGGGAGTTGAAATGGTTCGCGACTGGAAGGTGCAGTTGTTTATTGCGAACCGAGCGTAGGTGTTCTAACAACATAATACTGATACACCTGTTGCTTCACCACATTCATCTTTTATTCATTTTCTGGATTATGTCAAGGTCTCAAACCCTAAAGCTGTCATCAAATATTCATCAGTCAATTTTTCTTTCTAACATATCATACTTGTTCAAAGTGAGTAAAGTCACTGTCACCCCAGAGGGCTGCTTTTCATTAGAGTGACAGGGAGTCAACCAGTAAGTGGAGGGTCACAACACCTTAGGCATGTGGAGAAGGTCAAAAGGTGGGACATTCATGTTCACCTCCACCAGGGCAGGAATTGAAACTGTGCTGCTGTTATCAGAGATAGTAGAAACTGCAGATGCTGGAGAATCTGAGATAACAAGGTGTAGAGCTGGATGAACACAGCAGGCCAAGCAGCATCAGAGGAGCAGGAAAGTTGACATTTCGGGCCTAGACCCTTCTTCAGAAAATGAAGACAATGCGGTTATCATGCTGTATTACAAAGCAACCATCCAATCAATGGAGCTAACCCACCCCAGCGCAATGCCCCAACATGAAATACTTGCACCTCAAATGAACCAAATATATTGAATTCTCCCTCATTTCATTGAACAGTTTCTTTTAGAAGAATTAGCCTCATTAACGTTTGCATTAAACACTTACTAACGGCTGTGTGAAGGTAATCCTTGTTGTTCATTTCAGAATGATAATGATTGTTAAATTACTATCAGTCATACTTGATGCTTTCAATCGATAGATGTTAAGGGCCAGTGATACCATTTGTTCTGTTCAGGATAGATGGTTAAGGAGCTCAAGTTCATTTTTATAACTATTCAGTCATGTTGGACATGACCTAAAATGTTAAATGTTTGAAGACAATGAGACAGAACAATAAGTATATTAACTGGTGCTCAATTCTGATTGGGATTTGAATTATGATCACACCTCAGTTAGGGGAGTAACACATACTTGCTAATTTAATGAGCATTTTCACTTTTCCTTCATATCAATACCTCCATGCAGAATTCACACTGGAGAGAGAACCATGCAAATATGTGAGCTGCAAGTCTCTGAATTAAAGTATTTGCCAAAATGAACAACTTCAGCATTTCTGCTGGAACAAAGACATTTTGTGTCGAGATTGCTGCCAAAAAATAAAGTAATTGCTTACCTACCAATGTTGACAACAGGAGATGCACACAGTTAATGGTGTTGGAACATGGAAATGAATGGCAATCAATATTGTAATGATATACTGATGTAATATTTGTCCACAGATTGGGGTGACATTATCACAATCAAACTGAGATTCACGTATCATGAATGAAGAAAATTAGTGGATATATTTAACCAAGAGGGAAGGTATTATCACTCCTGTGGGAGAGATGAATTTGTGTTAATATTGTCTCCACGAGAAATTGAAATATCAATTGAAAAATAGACATTTCAATACAACTGATTGAAGGAAAACCCAAAGACAGCATTTCAGAGGGATACCTGGATGTTTCCATCATATTTGAACTTTAGGGTTAGCTACTGTTAATCAAATTGGGAAAGTGTAGATTAATCAACTCCTGTAAAAACTCTCTTTCTACCGAAAAACCCAGATCATGATTAGTATATTTCCAGTGTTTCTCCCCCATATGAATGAACAACTGTTGTGTTATACAATAGATTTTGACTGTGTTCTGGTTACTAATCATGCCTTAGGACAGGACAGAAACAGTTATATTTTAAGTCACACTTTGTAATAAAATTTAATATTTTATGAACAGATTCATTCAGAGAGCATGGAGTAATTCTGAGTAAACTGTTAAAACATAATAAAATGAATTCATTGAATGAGCAGATTTTCTAGAAGGGGAACTTTGGATTCCAGACATTTGCATCAACTTTGACTGCAATGCTACATGAATTATTTTCATTAATATTTAGGACATAATAATCTGATGCATATATATGTCTTAAACACAGAAAGGATATAAATGAGCTGTGGGATGGTCTACATAATTGAATTGTGCTTGGGAAATTGGGGACATTTCTGTCCCTCAGAATTATGGCTGTTGCAATTTAGAATGAAGCACATGTGAAAAAAATTGAACAAAATTAAGATTATGAATTAAAATAAATACCAGGTCCAGTTCTGAGCTCCTGTGGAATGAACATATTGGTGTCAATATCCTCTGCAGGGATCTCTTGGAATTGGGGATTTTAACAAAATCAAGAGTGAGAGTCAAAGAGCCATACA